GTAACCCTTTAATATTGCCTTTGAAACAATCAAACAGTAGTGGTGAGAAATGTAAGACTTTCAGCACTCATACTTTTGTGGAAATGTTAAGAAATTGTTGTAACTGAAAACTTTAAATGTCATGAAAATAAGCAAACTCACATCTGAATAGGACATGTCTATGCTATTGAGAAATATTTTGGAGATTTTACATGTATTCTTTGAATATTTCCACTGAACCCGCACCCCCCCCCCCTTCCCCACCCAAAAAAAAATGCCCATCTTTAAAACTTTAAACTATCATTACTCTTTTCCTTTGTTTTAATATGTGCTTGTCATCTTATCCTGATTCCTGATTAATGAATATTTTATCTTAATGCAGAATTTTGATAAAGCACATTTGTAAGACAAGGGGTATTTGAAAAGCAACATATTTGGAGTTATGGGACTTTTATTCAAAATTGCTTATTAAGTTGAATTATTTCAAAACTGAAAGGTATCAACGTGAAACTTGATGATCATGACATTAAAGAGAAAGTTGTAAACAATGAGCATTATCTTGAAAGTATATTATACAATCTTCTTTCAATCATTACAGTTATGTATCACTGTTTTCTTCTTTGTCTTTTTCAAAAGTTTAAAAGATATCATTCAAAATGAATCTTGAAATACTCGTTTGTATGATGACAGACACTTTGTCAACATTGCTTATTATTTGTTGGATGATTTCAAAACTATTTAAGCTATCAACTTGAACTATTGATTATCTTGCCAAGGCTTAGTTATAAAGCAATGGATACTATTATCCTGAAAGCAATATATATACTTTTAAAAGTTATGTTCCTTATAAAGTTGTTTTACAAAAAATGTTATTGATAGTGATGCCCTTTACGGATGACCATTGTTAAATTTATTTTCTCTCTAATTTTACAGAAACAGCAGTTTATAGTCAAGAAAAGCTAATCCTGAACTTTCGCAAAATACATGATGTACAAATATTCTGCAAGAAACATCAACCTGACAAAAAGGAAGTGGTGTATATATGTTGGGATATCTGCATATTGTTGGTGATACAAAATGTGTAATATGAAAACAGAATTTGAAGAAGAACTTTGCAAATGGAAAATATGTGATGCAAGAATTCAGTATAAGTAAAAATAACAGATTTTCATTTCAAATGAAAAGGAATTGTAGCCCACCGGATCAGTCCTCATCTTAAGTCAGTGGTCAGTCGTAAAAAGTATTTTTCCAGAAGACACAAGTGCAAATAAAAAAGGCACATCTCTCTTTTTCCACTTGAATTATGTTGGATTAAATTAAGACTGGACCTGTAAAATAGAGTTTTCAAAAAGTATGGAAAATATTCTAGATAATTCGGGCAATTAATGTTTAAGAGTTCCAAAATGACAGCAAAAATGCATCTTTTCCTTAAAGTGAACTGAATGTGTTAGAGAAGACATTATGGAGTTAACAAGGAGATACCAAAGATGTTAATGTAACAATAAATTACATCTTTATTATTTAAGAGGCTCTGTGAAAGGATTATAGTTAGAACTTAATTAGAATCATAAGATAATAACATGTTATAACTGAAAGAAAGCTGATAAACACCATTGGGAACAGTTTATTTGACATAAAAGGGTTAAAAGGCTCAAGTATTGACATGTAACACCTAACCCAGCAGGTTTTAGTAGGTAATCTTCTATTTAACTTGCCTGGTTAACCTTGGAAAACTTGATCAATTCAAACAACCTTCAGTCCTTAATCTTCATGATTTATCATGAGAGGGGATTCGCAGATAATTAAGTGATAGATTATACATGTAGCTTCATTTTTTCCCTATTTTGTAAATATCTATTCCATAATCTTGAAATACAACAAAAAATAATGTTAGAACTTTATTTGTTGCATTGACAATTTTTATTGCATTTAAACAATTATGCTTCAATCAGTTTTACGTAAGAACAATGATACTATTTCGATATGACTTTTGAGTTTCGTCGTAACTTAAAATACAATAACGTAGTTATTATATTATGGATTTTGATATTCGATGTACCCGACACATTAGCAAAACTACTCGTGTCTAGATTTACACAATGTAAATGCCGTCATCTGAAACGGACAAATATTTACTATGTTTGTGTTTTGTAAGTTCTCCTTAACATGTATTTTGAAGTTAAGTTCTTAAGTTACGTGGAAAAAGTGATTAAATATGTATAAACTGAAAGGATATTGAATGGGCGCAGGTCCAATACTTCATTTAATGCTACAAGAATATAGAAAATCATACAGTATGCTGTTTATCACAGAGTTGTGTACAGTGAAAATCAATTTAGTCAATGACAATTTGAACGCTGTAAATGTTAATGTTTTATTATGCAAATTATGTCATGATATACATGTACAGTAATTACATTAGTATTATATTGTTTTTATTAAGTTTGTGTGCCGTGTAAAATATTATGAATCAAAAATATACAAACAAACATAATTTATACTGTGTACGTATCAATAGAGCTATCTCCTTGGCGACATGACTACCTTTTTTACGACAGAGCTGTCTCAAAGATCACATATCCTATATTTTCTTTATTAACTAATGTTTTGATCTGATTTCAATCTCCTTTTTATTTCTAGACCTTATATTTACTTGAAACGTATTTGTTTTTAATCTGAATTGCTGTTTATATGAAAACTGGAGGAAAAATAATCTGTTTCATGATAAAACGATCCGTTTCAACGCTGAATTCGCTAACTGGGAAACGCCGCCACAACTACATTTCAAACACAGTGATATAGCAACTTAACGTTTTCTGAAAACTTTAATCAAATCTACATCGCATAGCATTCTTCAAATTTAGATATTTGGTGTAGAATTTACAAAATCTATAAAAACCGACAACAGTTGACACTTGATTTTAGGTACATGCACTAGCTCGGAAGTAGCGATAGAGCAGTTTACCGTATATCTTTGAAAGAGGTAGCTTTATCATTTACCAGGCGTGTTATAACTACAGAGAATTTTGCCATCACAAACATTTTTATCAATATTTGGATATTTTTTTAGCTTTCTAATTTATTTTTCATAATTTTGTATTGGATACTTTGTTGAAATACTATAACTGACATAGGTACAAAAAGTTAAAAATAAAACGGAAAGAGAAAAGTGACGTTAGGTTTTCTATGTAATGGTCTATATTTACATTTGAATTTCGACGTTACATCATGCAACTTTCATCATCATTTTACGTCCATGAAGGCAGTGATTAAAATTCTGCCAAGGGTGGTAATCACTGTGAGGAGTGTGCATTATTATTTTGTACAGATAAGAATTCCAGATGGAGGCCTAGAATATGCTCTGCATTTAATCGAGTCGAGATAGAGACAATGTTACTTCATCAAATATATCACATGTCCCATCTGGCTACCCAGTGACGTCATTATATGAAGTCATGTTATTGTTTCAATGGTCATGTTACCTTTCCCTATAAATACCCCAGAATTCACTTTGAACTTTGTCAATTGTATTTACCCCTTTACAGACGCAACATGTATGTATAATGTCTTAAAAAGTATCCATTTGCAGAGGTAGTACCAATAATCATTTAATAAATACATTTCCCATGTTAAAAAAAGTATAATAAACGTATAAACTACAAGTATTAATAAACTTGTTCAGAACCGTTACATGTGTAACTAAGGCAAACAAACCCAACTGGAGTGGTTTCGGGATATGTACCCATTTTGCCTACATGTATCATTTATATTTCTATTGAATGTCTATACATGAACGAATGATGATGATGATGAATAAATGAGATGTTAAACTAACTACTGGCTTCCTCCTGATGCAACATACCATGACTATTTAAGTAAAACTAGTGGTCCATCAGCTATATAGGCCTACTATTAAGATAAACATCCTGAGAAATTGAGACCAGGAACTAGCAGGCTCTCCCCGTACAGGCATAAAAATACTAATGTCTCAACCGGAAACAAACAGTAAAAACATTCTATATATCAACCGGAAACAAACAGTAATGCATGTACCGGTTTATCAACCAGAAATAAGCAGTAATAGATATACGGGTATATCAATCGGAAATAAAGAGTAATACATGTGCCAGTATATCAACCAGAAACAAACAGTAATACATGTACCAGTATGTCAACCGGAAACAAACAGCAATACAATGCACAAGTATATCAACCGGAAACAAACATTTATACATGTAACGGTATATTATCTAGAATCAAACAGTAATACATGTACCGGTATATCAACTGGAAACAAACAGTACTGGATATACTTTTATATCAAACAGAAACAAACTGTTCTACATCAACCGGTATATTAAACAGAGACAAACAGTTCTACATGTACTGGTTTATCAACCAGAAACAAAAAGTGATACATGTACCAGTTTATCAATCAGAATCAAACAGTAATACATGTAACGGTATATTATCTAGAAACAAACAGCAATACAACGCACCGGTATATCAATCGGAAACAAAAAGTAATGCATCTACCAGTATATCATCAAGAAACAAACCGTGATACATGTATCAGTATATCAACCGGAAACAAACAGTTATACATGTACCAGTATATCAACCGGAAACAAACAGAAATACATCGACCAGTATATGAACCGGAAACAACAGCAAAACATGTACCAGTATATCAACCAGAAACGAACAGTGATACACGTAGCAGCATATCAACCAGAAACTAACAGTAATACACGTACCGGTACATCAACTTGAAACAAACAATTATACATGTACCAGTACATCAAATGGAAACAAACAGTAATACATGTACAGCTATATCATCCACAAACAAACGGCAATACATGTACCAGTACATCAACTGGAAACAAAGAGTATTACAATGTATCAGTATATCAACCAGAAACACACAGTAATACCTGTACTGGTATATCAACCAGAAACTAGCAGTAATACATGTACCAGTATATTTACCAGTAAAAAGCAAAAGAAACACATTCTACCTCTTTTTGTTCTGTTTCAAGAACAGTAAATTTTCTTTTTAATTCTGTATGTTTTTTCTCAGCTTCCTCCTTCTCTTTGGTCATCTGTGCTTTAAGTTCAATGAATTCTTGTTTAAGTCCCTCGTATCCCTCTGATGATTTCCGAATTTTCGTCATTTCGTCTTTGATATGGCTCAAAATTTCTTCAAACCCTTCTGTAGTGATAATGAAGTCTTTCTTCTTCAGCTGATAAAAAACATCAATTTTGTTACAAAATAATCTCTCTTCTTCCCTTGTTTAAATTCTCTTACTTGTCTGAGGACTTGTAAAATCCACTTTTCAACAGACGTATTTATTTTCAACATATTGTTTTTTCTTACATATAATAACAAACTAAAAAACGGTAATTTCTCTTCTCATATTCTAATATTATGTAGGTTTTTTTATTTGATTTCATCAATATTAGTTATGAATTAACCACTTCGAGCACTTTTTTCTATTCAACTCCGTAAATTAAGTAAAATGAGCTTATTTTAAAATATGATAATTTAACTCTTTAAAAATTTCAAAACTTATATATACACTTACATCTTGAAGTTTTCCAACAGCTTGTTGAGCATCTTGTCGATGTAAAAGCTCCTTACAATCTTTTAGAACAGCGATCATATCATCAATATATGAATTAGCCTTACTCTCCTCTAATTCCATATTACTAGAGTGAAAAATCTCATTTAGATACTGCCTTACCTATTATACAAAAAAAAACAAATAAAACAATATTCACATAGTGTATACAGTGTTCGGCGATGAGACTAAACACAATTCTTAAGTTGAGAATTAAATTTTAATAAAGGAGTTATTTTAAAATACTTAACATAATAATCATTATCATTAGTGTGTTTAAACCACAGATTATATAAAAGAAAAGGGAATATAAATGGCTTTAGATAAATGTTATAATAATTGTACTGAAGTAACAGTATTTACTTGATGCGCACAAGTAACTTTCTGACCATTTTACAGTGAGGCTTAAAATAAAAATAGCTTTTGCTTTCCACACACAAAAATTACAGCTAGCCAAAAGATTGTATTGCCAAGAAGTATTTGTGAATACAATTTTATGCGTAACAATTTTGAATCATTATTTATGTGTTGCAAATTGTTTCTCTGGCAAAATAACTGCATAAGCTTTAAAGTTATATGGACATAATTTCACCTTAGTGCAGTAATTGGTTAACTCCTGTAAAAATTCAATTAGAGTTAACCAATAACTGCAATAAGGTAACAATGTTCCCTTTTACTTTTATACTCAATTAACAGACTCAATCTTACAGTAAAGCTTAATATGCTACACAATTTAAAATAAACGTATAGTACACAAATGTATTTACCTTTGAAAAAAGATTGTTTGGTCCTGTAACATTGCATCCAATATGACTATGAAAGTACTTGTTATTTATGATAACATGAAGCAACCCAGTGCAATCAGTGTCGTCTGCTGATGTCTTGTCCTTGTACCCAGGAGCATTTATAAAACATTTGCAAACCTCCCACGGTTCTGTTGACCACTGTTGGACATCACTGTTTTTCCAAAAAGGTGCAGGTGGTATTGATGCATGATACTGTATAATGCTGTCATAGATGGCACCACATACGTTGTTTGGACAGGGGTTCTTATTATTTGGAAAGCAACAGTTACATTTATCTTGTTTGAGGGGACATATCCCTTTTGAGACTCGGACATGATCTGGCTTGAGAGTTGTTATCTGACAGGAGCTGCATGGCACGTTTGGTTGAGGAGTCTTTGTTTGTTGTATTTTGTTTATAATATCTTTGTGCTGCTGTCTTCCTATGTCATCACAAAATGGCGCAAGTCCCTCTTTAAGATAACCCAAGCCTAGGCCAGCCTTAACCCACTGCCGGTATTTGTTGTTCTTTAAATGTATCTCATGTGCCATCGTGATTTCTTAAACAAAACACAAAAGTATTCTTCACTACAATTTGTAAGAATCCAAAGAAAACCAGAAAAACATATATTTGAAGTTTGAACTCTAGCCATTTGGTTTGTTTTATAAGAGAATGTTTTAAGTTTTTACTATAAACAAATAAAGACAATCAATGACCCCAAGGGCGGGCCAATTTTAAACCCAGGGCTTTTATTTGAACACACTTGGTAGACACCAACTATAAGATGTTTCATGCCTTATATCTAAAGTTTGAAGTATGGATGAAATTGGCATAGCGGTTTTTGAGGATATGTCGTTTAAAGTAAAAGGACAGACGGACGATGGACGGACGGACGTTCCAACATTTTGGCTTTAGGGGCTATTTTCTTTGTTATTTTCTTTGTTTTCTTAAGGGCTACTAGCCCCTAAACCCTTTGATCACGGAATGACCCTATTGTTCTCTTTTGTTCTCTTTACTGTTATATAGCCCCTAAACCCAAAATGTTTGCTCGGACAGCCGATGGACGGACGGACGGACGGACGCCGGATGAAAAGCGATCACAAAAGCTCACCATGTCACATTGTTACAGGTGAGCTAAAAGTAACATGTTTCAAGTAAAAGTATCTGAATTCATGGGGAGATAATGCACGTCTTATTTCTGATATCGTTCATTCTCAACGCTTCCTTGTCTTGGGAAAGGAAATATCAAATAGTGTTGCACAAATCACATTTTAAAAGTGTTTATAAATTTATGAACATACCAAAGTGCAAAAAAAAAATGTTGACTGTTTAAAGGTCAATGATCATAACAAATGTTTAATAGAAACCGTGATACAATGGTTTTTTACCCCTCCCACTTTGAAATAATGAAAATACACGGTCTCACACTTTACGAAGTCAAAGATTAGCGACAAAAGAGAAAGATAGTGATTTGAAACAGATCATTAAATTATTCATTTCCAACACTATGCTTCGATTAAAAGGTAATTTTCTCGCCCCGTACCAAAATTTTGATAAACCTATGCAATTTCCAAAAGACGTATGTTCAAAACCAAATGATGCTTATTTTCATATTGATTTAACTTGAACAAATGATTTTTGAGTTTTGTCCTCAATTGTCTATCTGGAGCCGCAGAAACACTTACAACATTTGAGCAGTATCGTTTGGGCTGCTATGGACTTTACGCCCGCGCCCGTAAGGAGTTGACGTTGCAAATTTGCATTAACATACACTTCACGTCAATTAAAAAACATGTCATTTTATCACAATTAACTTGAAATCATTCTTTCTATTTTCCGATTAAATGTTTGGAATGTTTCGACGTAAGATCTTACACAGGGTAAAAAAATTATTTTGACGCGCATCTGAATTGGAATATTGATTTGGCATTTTATTTATATGGGCAAATTGAATTTTTTAACGATGTCAATTATTAAATAGTTTGTGTCAGTGTTTTTACATAGTTCTTCATTTTAGCGAAATATGATCTCTATCCCGTCATTTTGAATTAAAATAAGATAACGTTTAAATGATTTAAGATAAATGAGTAGTATTTATGTAGATACTTTCTTATCTGAGGAAAAATTGATCTGAAGTTTCCAAGGCAAGCAAGACATTATGACCCCTTAACTACTCGGCCTCTTACACTATTAAGATGACTTCTAGACCTCTTGACACTAAGACCCATTTTACATGACTTTTAGACCCCTAGTAGCTCAAGCATTAACCAACATTACGACGGGATAAGCAAACAAACAACTAAGTGTCAAATGCTTGAATATTGTTATTAAAAGCACAAGCCGATCTGTCATCATGTGAAGGCCTTTTACTTTGCAATCTATTCATATCAAGTATATGCCCTTGTAGGAGGAATTTATGTGGAAATATATGAGGGGGTATTTCATAATAAGAAAGGAACAAAATATATATTGCGTCGCAAAAACGTTAAACCACATGCACGCGAATGTTATCATATTTATTGTCGACGCCGAGGACTTGTTAAGCGTAATGAAAATATTTCTTTTAGGGCTTTGCTGTTTTGAACCTGTTGCGACATAGGATCACACACAGGACCTTATAAAATAACTATTTTGTCGCATCTGAATTGAATCAAAGTAATTTAAAGCTGCATGCCTCCAGATTAGTCAAAATATTTCAAGAAAATCAAACTTCGGACACGTACTAAATTTGTAAGAAAGGTAAAAGTTTCAGGATTCAAATTATAATTTTTATGTTTTATGCGATAAGTGACTGATTTTGAAGTATTAATAACCATATTTCTATTGCGTTACTAACGCAGTAAAGAATGTTTTTGCAGATTCCGACCTCTTTTTGGTAATTTACATGGATTGTAATTGTTTGCAATGTGTAAATTACTTTATTGTTAACTTCACAATATTTAACTTCTAAAATCATTTTTTAAATGTTCATGAACATTAGGATGAATCAGGAGGGGTGCTGCTTTAAATGTGTCAATATTATAATATAATGAATGTGTAAGCGTATTTTGAATACTCCTTTGAATATGATAAAATTTCGATCCCACCAGTTTGAATGGAAATAAGATAACGTTTTAATAAAACCAGATAAAGCTAAAGTATATATACAAGAAAAACGAGTTGAATTTATAAAAGTTTTCAAATGTTGTAGTTTATATATTTCAGACAATAATAATTGGCAAGGATCGACAGATAATAAGCAAATATTTTTGCTCGAAAACAAAACATGAAGGAAGATATAATAGTTATAGGATATATCGAGCTTGTTGGCAATCTTTGTAAGTTGGCAGCAAAATAGTGGTTATGTTTTACAACAAAATCAAGTATCGGTAATACATGAATAATTAATATTTATTAAGCATGATTTCGTTTGGCAGACACAAAGTGGGTTGAACATCAACCACTGCAGTAAAATAAGTTTTAACCATCATAATGACAGCACGATCAGATAAGGTAGGCTAACTATGAACCAACAGAGCAACTTATGTATAAGCATAAAGTTTGAAGCATGAACCAAAATAACGGGCTTACGCATAAATCAACATAATGGCTAAAACTGAATCCTATATACATGTATAACTGATTAAGCATTTATGGACATTAATGTATACGCATGCATGGTTTGTATTATCAATTTGGCATGCCTGTAATTATGTGTATCGATTCCTAATTCTTTGAGTATAAAATCATGTATATTCAATAATATGAATATAAAGGTAAAATATTTAAATAATTAATATATTCATTTTTTATTTTACAAACTGCTGCTCAAGCATAAAAAATTATGCATAACTAAAATC